TATTTGACCCTACTGCACTCATATACAAAAATTTTCAACTCAGTGTGGTGTGTGGTGCCAGCACAGCCAAGGGTTCGGCATGCCTGAGGTGAGGGAGTGGGGGGCAGCTAAGGATGTAGAAAAGACAGACAGAGAGAATAAGCTGGGTCTAGGTGGATCTCCTTGCCTGGCTGAGGCCACAGGGAGAGACCCAGACAGCCAGCTGAGCCTTTATTTTATAGCCAGAGGTAAACAAGGTACTGGTCACCATAGTTACAATGTTCTTGTGAGTTTCACTTGTTTTGGCAGCACTTGCTGTACCTCCCACAGCCCATTAGCTACCCAGATAGGATCTAGGGAGGGTCATAAGGTCAAGCTTAATTATGCTAAGAGGGCTGTGCCCTCCAAGCTGGGACTTGTTTGTGGCTTTGCCAACAGGTCAGTCCAAGGCTATAGCCGCTCCCTACAGTGTGGTAAGAAGTAAAAGAGAGAACCAAGAGCAGAAGTGAGAGCTGCACTGCCCTCCTAACCCAGACCTTGTCAGGTGTCAGATGGGACAGCAGTCCATAAGTTCTCTAGGCCACAGCCAAAAGAGAAGTGAGCAGGGCCTGTGAAGTGTGGAGAGGGGCAGGGAGCCGAGGTCAAGAAGAAGCCTTAGAGAGGGCATGAGACAACCGGCTTCCCTTCCCCTAAGTCGAGGTTTTACCCACAAGCATAAAAGAAGTTGCCAGAAGGGAAGTTGTGTTCCCTTCTCATTTCTCCATCTGTAGTTAAAACTCAGTGAAGCATAACAAATAATGAGCAGTTCCAAACAATTCACAACAGCTCAATGTAGATGCTTTCGTGTGTGGTGTGGGTTGGGGCTGCTGCTGAGAAGTGAAAGCTAAAAAGGGGTTCTCCTAATCGGGAAGGTATATCAGATATTTGGTTATAAATGGCCAGAAAGTGTATTTAAGGAGACAGGGGTATTGATCAAGAAGTAATTGTTTGCTGGAAATGGTCAGTCTTTTCCATGGGTAATTAAGATGATGTCACTTGATACCTACTCCAGGGAGCATGTTCTACAGTGCAGTGTCATTAACCTGCCGTCATGGCAACAGGCTGGTCTTGGGTTCTCCCTCTGGAGCTTTCTTTTATTAATGTGTGTGCTGTTCACAAGCTACAACTTGCTCTTTCCATTGTGTTGTTCCACAGGTGACAAGATGGAAAGAAAGTATGGGAGGTTCTTATTATATAGCATAAGGTTTCAAGAAAAACAAACAAATAAACCAACCTTTGGCTTGCTACATGGAGAGTAATCTCCTTCCTCCATTCAGGTCTATATACCCTCCTGCTGTTCATGGACCAGTAGCATCAGCATCCCCCGGAGGTGTGAGGAATGCAGACTCTAGGTTCCCGTACCAAAACTGAATCTGACTTGTGCCAAGATCCCTGGGAAATTCACATTCACATTAAAGGTTAAGAAGCACTGCCAAATATAGACTTCTGTTTCAGTAATAACATTACCAGCAGCTGCCTACAATGGGGTTTCTCTTCTGAGGCACCACTGTTTTTCATTAGCTTTAGGGTCTAAGATTTCCCCCCAAAGTGGGAAAAGGCCATTGTTTTATGTAGTAAGAAGAATGCTTGGTAACTTAAGCTAAGTTTATCACAAGAAAATGTTTCCAGGCTGTGTAGTATTTGGCCCCCAGGATTTTCTTCTGCCCTGTCCCTGTCTCTGAGCTCAGCCAGTCAGCTCAGAGCTTCCAGTCTGTGAATCGGGCACCGTGTTCCAGCAGCACCAACAGAGGAGAAATACCGCCTGGAAACTTTGTCAAAACAAGAGCTCAAAAGCAAGTTTTGTCTCTTCTAGCCACTTCTTATTTCCTTTAAATCACACACTTCTGTACAGCATTTAAGATAAAATGACATCACCAAAGCCTGGACTAATAAACATGTTTCCCAGGAAATGGACACGCGTATTCAGTGACTTGTCATGTGCCTAGAATGGTCTTGGCACTGTAAGGAGCCATCACACTAAGAGGCAGGTGACTGGCTCACGGGCACACAGATGATTAGTGGTTGAATTAGAACTCACCCCATGTCTGGTTTTGAAGTATGATTTCCTCTCCCTCCATTGAAATGCCTCTACCCACAGGACTAGATCTTGTTTCTAAAGCTGTATCATTGGTCCCAACTATTCTACACAAGCAAAATTGCATTCCAAGCTGGTCCTTGGCAAAAGTAAGGAATGGCACAAAGTTTGTCTTTGACGACACTCCAACCCCAAAGCAAGCTCTTTTTTTTTTGCTTAACTCTACAAACTTTCAGCCAGTTAGTGGTTTTGTCAGTTCCCTGCTACCTTTTCCAATCGCCTTCATGGGATGTTCATCTGAGACTGTCTTCTTCTCAGCATTTCATGTTTAATTTCTCCCACCACACTCTCCTTTAGTGACAGCTTACTTGCCAATTCGGTCACGTTTTAACAATTAGCAATACCCTCTATGCCAAATTACTGATTTGTAAGTTACTTCATTAACTTGTTACCTCTTATAGTTTGACGCTTTTATTTTTTATTTGTTGTTGTTGTTGTTACTCCTCACCCAAGGATATTTTTTCCATTGATTTTTAGAGAGAGTGGAAGAGAGAGAGAGAGGGAACAGGTGAGAGAGGAAAACATCGATGTGAGAGCAACATATCAATTGGTTGCCTTCCACATGCGCACTGACCAGGGCCAGGGACAGAACCACAATCCAGGTATGTGCCCTTGACCGGGAATCCAACCCGAGACCCTTCAGTGCATGGGCAGTGATGCTCTAACTGCTGAGCCGCACTGACCAGGGTAGGTTTAACTCTTAGAAAACAATAAAGTACCCATGAGTTACTTGATTAATTAATAATAAATCTTAAAGAACAAAGTGAAAAGGATTACAAATGTGTAATTTTTGGTCCTGTTTCCAGTCAAGGGAGTCCTTTGCTGTCCCTCAAATCCCATCCACAGGTACTACTTTGTTCATACATTTGGCTGGCTTGAGCTATTAATAGCACAGAACACATTTTTACACTTTAGAAACTTGGAGGTGGGGAGATTTTTTTTTTATTGATTGCAGAGAGGAAGGGAGAGGGAGAGAGAGAGATAGAAACATCAGTGATGAGAGAGAATCATTGATTGGCTGCCTCCTGCACGCCCCACACTGGGGATCAAACCCACAACGTGGGTATGTGCCTTTGACTGGAATCGAACCCAGAACCCTTCAGTCCACAGGCTGATGCTCTATCCCAGTGATGGCGAACCTTTTGAGCTCGGCGTGTCAGCATTTTGAAAAACCTTAACTCTGGTGCCATGTCACATATAGAAATTTTTTGATATTTGCAACCATAGTAAAACAAAGATTTATATTTTTGATATTTATTTTATATATTTAAATGCCATTTAACAAAGAAAAATCAACCAAAAAAATGTCATAGGTTCGCCATCACTGCTCTATCCACTAAGCCAGTGGTTCTCAACCTTGGCTGCACATTAGAATCACCTGGGAATCTTGTTACTAATGTTGTGGCCCCACACCATAACAAAGAAACAGAATTTCCAGAGGATGAGGCCCGGAAATCAGGATTTTAAAAAGATTCCCAGGTGATTCTAATGTGCAGCCAAGGTTGAGAACCACTGTACTAAGCAAAACTGGCTAGGCAAGAGATATTCTTCTTTCTAGGAAACCCCAACATCTGGTAACCCATCTAGTCACAACGATCATGGTTCTGTCTAACTCATCCAGCTGTATGTCCTAGTATTGACATTCAGTCTTCTTAAAGTACAAAACACATCTCATTTTCAATTGTTCAGCTGCACAGGGAGAAGTACATTGTTGTTACTAAGAGCAAACCCCAGAATCCGATTTGGAGACCTTGATTTTCATAATGTTTTCAAATCATCTAATCAAGCCTTCTTTCTTTTACCCATGTTTCCTTTCTCGCCTCTCTACTTCTCTCTTTGTACCGTATGTCTTAACACAAGAAAAAACAAACTTTCAAATGCAAAGAGAAAAATGGATGGTAATTACTATAAATGTTTCATTAGAACTGAGGCCATTCAATCTGCTTATTTGAACATATAAAGCATTTTCTCTCTTCTGAAATACTCCACTGCACAAATAAGAGTGTATCAGATATAATTTCACGTGATTACCCTGTGTTAGGAGCTCCTAACCACAGCTCTCTGTCAGGTGTTGTTAAGCACATAAACAAACTGCCTCCAAGTAAATCCTGTCCACCAAATCTTTATTTTCATTTCACAAAGATTCTGTTTTGCAGGCAAACTCTGGGAATGTTGCCTCCCTATTAAATAGCAGGAAAGGGAAATTTGAAGGTAGGAGAGACCTGAAAGGATCTTTGCCACAAAAATTTGTCCTGTCTCAAATGTATTTCCTCCCTGAGCAAAAACTACATAGCAGGTCAGAAAAACCCATGCAGCAAAAGGCAAAATTAAATAGTAAACTACAAAAGCAGAAACATTAAGTTGCTGTTATGAACTTATTTCACAGCTACATTAACCAATGAATGCTTTTTTAACAACACTGGAGGGAGGACAGCCAAGTTTAAGAAGACTGGTCTTAAACTTAGTTTTATTTATTATTTACTCCTAGAGCAGAGATTCTGATACTGAAACCTTGGGGTGGGCCTCAGGGATCTGAGAATCCTCAGAAATTTGGGGTGTCCTTGTATATGTGGGCTTTTTTTTCTGGGAGATGATCTATAGTTTCCGTCAGATTTTCAAAGGGGTATAATCTAAGAATCACTATTCTTAGAGGATTCTTTAAGGGATATGGAAAGGTTGGATACAATGGTATCAGATAAAGCCTCATGTTTATGAGATCAAAGATATGCATTTGAGTTATTTTTCTCTGAAAGACAATCAGATCAGGCCTGCCTATATAGTTGCAGCAAAACCAGTCAGGGAAATTAGAGTATAGCTGAGAATATAATTTAGACAGGCCCATTGTATGAAATACGGTAATACTCAATGCTATAACATCACCATCATCTCAGTAGCTTAACAAAATAAAAGTTTACTTCTCATTCACACAAAGTCCAATTCCTGGTCAATAGCAGCCTTCCATGTGATCATTCAGGGATCCAGGCTCCTTGTATCCTATGACTCTGACTTCTTTTATAGCCTTGAAGTCCTCTGTTAGAACTTCAATATCTTGCCAGTAGATAGGAGAATAAAGAGAAAGTATGGAGGATTACATGAGGGTTGGACATCTTTTCTAGCCACACTCCTTCAATTAAGATTCAGTCACATGGCCTAACCTAACTGTAAGGGAGGGTGAAATGTAGTCTAACTGCATTCTCAGGGTGTAAAAGAAATGACTTTTGGTGAACACCTAGCATTTCTGCCCTATCCTCTCAAATGAAACAACAAGACCAGGAAAAGTTTGGAGAACAAGAAGACATGCTGCTTTAGATACTGGAAGAAAATTCAATGTCATAGGAAGACCAACATATTCCACAGAAAACAGGCCAGAAAACAGTGGAAGAAGCAGTTTTACAGGAGGTAGGAAAGTGTCCAGAGTAAGGAACAGAGTGACCTCAAACATATGAGCAAAAATGCTTAGAATTTTAGGCATGGAGGTAGGAGGAATTTGGGAATTTAGTGATCAATAGTAGAGCCCAAGTCACCAAATAGTATTTAGGAAGATGTGGGGTTAGGAGTGGCAATAAGAGTAGGATCAGGCAAGAGCAAGAGTGAAATAATCAAGAGATAGGAAGACTACAGAGAGGGGGCCTAGGCACAGCACAGAGAGTCAAGACAGTCTATTTGTGAGGTGACTCCTTGATGACCAGCATGTTGGACAAGAGCTGTTTCAATGCCTCCTGTCCAAGGTCAGGACAGACCCTGGAGTAGTGCAGAGCCTACAGATAGGGGTCAGCTGTGAAAGAGGCTCTGGAGACCTGAGAGGGCCTGACAAGACCCATCCTCAAATGTTCCCAGGAATCTTACTTTGCTTCTCCATCACAGGCAACAACCCTGACCAACCCTACCTTCCTCACAAATTGTTCTGGGATGAAAAGAAACAACTGAATCAGTACAAACCCTTCAGAGCACAAAGCAAATGCCCCACTAAGAGTATGGAGAACCTGGGATAGCATGTTTGCTTAGAAGAAATAATAAAAATAATTGCTCATATGTGCAAGACATGGTTCTTGGGCTTTAGATATATTTATCCATTAATCTTAACAAAAATCTTTATTTGAAGGATATGTCTTTATTACCTCAATTTATAGACTAAAAACTGAGCAACAGTCACTTATAAGTGACTTGCTCAATAAGAGTCAGAGCTGGGGTTCAAAAAGATCTGCCGTCAGAGTCGATAACCTCAACCACGATGGATACTGCCTTTCTTAGAAAGTCAAATTTGGCCCAAATTTCATATAATATTTCACCTGATTAATGGAGGTGGCATTGAAGACACATCCTTTAATTTAAGTCTCCCCCAGAAATCTCATCTACCATTTTCTTTCCATAAAGTTGCCTCATCCTTTGGAATGAAGACAAGTCATGGATCTCCCAAGAATGAGTCATGGACAGTTCCCTGGAGTGGCCACCTTCTCAATGAATGCACACTATGAGGCAATAACAAGCTTTGAAATAAAATATGTGACATATGAACAACCACAGAATGTCAAAGTTAGAGGGAAGCTTAGGGACCACAGTCCCACCATTTTAGTACAGAGAAGCCAGTAGCTTTCAAAATGTCCCTTAGGAATAAGAGCAGACTGTCCTCACTTACACAGTAAAATACTTGCCTCCTTACCTCAGAACATTTTCTCTATGCAGCATAAAGGGATCATGAGGGTTAAAAGTCAGAAACTTTTAACAGTGACATAAGTGACTGCATGGATTCTTAGGTTGCTAGCAGGACTGTGAAAAAGATAAAAGGGTTCAACTTCATGAATTTGTTTTCTATGAAATAAGGAATCCAACATCTTATATAATTAATCAGGAGTTGTATATCCATCCATTCAAGCATTTATTCTATCACCCCAGACTTTGCCCCAGCATTTATCCATCCATCCATGCACTTATTCATTCATCCCAACCTTTATCCCAGCTTTATTCAACCATCCACCCATCCATTCAACCACCCATGCAGGTATTTATTCATTCATTTGCAAAGGTTTTCACTCATTACAAAATATCTATTGAGCCAAAATTTGTGCTAAATCCTGGGTTTGCTTTTTTTTTTTTTAAAGCAATTGCAATCAATGTTTTTCTTTCTGTCTGTTTTTTAGATTTCAGTATATGGGATTCCAGTACTTTCCATTATAAAATGAACTTTATATTAAATATGTTCAGGAATCATAATAAGGTCATTATTTATGGCACACTTTGCAGATTGCATCCATTAATTCAAAGGAAAGAGGATATCACTTAGGAGTATTTCCTTTGTTGCTCAGGACCTTATTTTTGGCCTTAAGTGTTTTTTATAGGCCACATACCTAGTCTCAAGACAAATATGGACAAGGCTCAGTCAACAGTGAACTGCCTTCAGTACCAAAGAAGTACTCAGATTTTGTCAAGTTGTGTCTCTGAGAGCTGTACGGCCCTGTTGTCCTTGATGAAAAGTACTCCCCTGTGACAAAGACATGTATGCTCAGTTTTCTTGGGGGACAGTGGAAAAGGGGTCTCTACATCCTGCTTCCCTGTTAGGACTATCAGTTAGTGTTATTTGTGCAAACACTGTAATGCACCTTCTACTCTAAATAATTCTACCCCAATAGCCAGGGCTCCAATAGTTCTAAAAGTCTAAAATGATTTTGTGCAGCATTTGGCTGTGTACCACATGAGAATGTTATTTTCTGATGATAATAAAGGAGGAGACGACTCAGAAAACAAAGCGCAGTACCAAGGTGGCAACACCCAAATGTATTTATTCACTTTTGTATTATGGATGGGAAAGGTTTTCCTTGCTACAAAGGTTAAAAAACAAGTTGATGCAAATCAATACGTAGTAGCTACAACTATTATCTATTGTAAACAGAATAATAAGCAGAAAATAAAAACAGAAGCAACTACCTTGGTGTACACAGGCATTCCATTGTTTTCTGTTATAGAACTGATATGAATGCCACCATTTTTATCTCTTTATAGTATTTTTCCTTGAGACACATTTTTTAAAATTGCACATTGCTTTGCACTTGTCTTACCAGTTCAGGTTTGTAGCTTACCAAAGAATTACAGAAAACTGTTTTACTACCAAGGTGGGGGCCATGTGGTCATTTATATATTACAAATGAAAAAGAAGCAAAGTACAAAAACGTGTGTGTTTGTGTGTGTGTGTGTTTGTGTGTGTGTGTGTGTGTGTGAGAGTGTGTGTGTGTGAGAGAGAGAGAGAGAGAGAGAGAGAGAGAGAGCGAGCTGTGAATACTGGCTGGTGGGAAAGGCTTTAAACTAGTGGTCATCAAAATCATATATAATACCTATTAAACACTCACTTTGCTAGCAGCATGTAAATCACTGGATTGGTTATTCAAAGACCAGACAAACAGAATTCCCGGATACTGTTTCCATTTGGGTTTTCCAGTTCGTATGGCTCCAGCTGGCGGTACTCAAAAGTCACACGGTTTATGTGTTTTCCGCTGGAGACCATGCGCACCACCGTGTTGTCGCAGCCAATTTTCATTTGGGCTGTCATTCATGGAAAAAGTAAAAGTTTCCCAGCAAGTTAGAAACCGCATAGCAAAACCACTTCTGTCAATAAGATCATTTAAACTCAAAGAAAGCGAGAGGTTGTATCTTATCATGGGCTCAAACCATGCCAGGAGGGGAAACGTTTTTGTTTTCATGTTTGTTAGAATACAGAATTAACTTCAGAATTGTGACATTGATCTCAGCGTTTCTCTTCATGTGCAAGAACACCGTTAGCCAAATAAATCTGGCTGCACAGAAGCAAGAAGATGTCTCCTTGCGCTTTTCACATTCCACCTGCAAGGCTCTGGTGGTAAAGGCAGGAGCCTCTCCACACTAACCTTCACTCTAGTTCAGTGTTCTCAGCGGAGACAGTACTGCCTTCCAGGAACAGGCTGGAAACTAGCAGGGGTAATTTTTGGTTGTCATAACATCTGGGGGTGCAAGTGATATTTAATGGGCAGGTTGGAGGCTAAATTGTAATGCTAAACATTGATGTTGACCAAAAAGATCACCTGTTTATTATTTTCTGAGCCTAGATAATAGTTGTTTTACATATAAACAAAAATATTTTGCATGATTTAGATAGACCACACTAAATATATTCATTTTTTCCCATTGTCCACCTACATTTTTCTCATTTTTTCCATTTCTCTCTCATTTGTCCCATTGTCCACCTACCTTTTTTCTCATTTTTCCATTTCTCTCTCATTTTTTCCTGTGCTTCATAGAAGGAATGACTATTGATATCCTTACTTCTCTTAAATCCAATCTTATCCATTATCTGTATAAGCATCTGACAATGTTTATATATCAGCCGTGGGCAAACTACGGCCCCGCGGGCCGGATCCAGCCCGTTTGAAATGAATAAAACTAAAAAAAAAAAAAAAAAGACCGTACCCTTTTATGTAATGATGTTTACTTTGAATTTATATTAGTTCACACAAACACTCCATCCATGCTTTTGTTCGGCCCTCCGGTCCAGTTTAAGAACCCATTTTGGCCCTCGAGTCAAAAAGTTTGCCCACCCTGTTATATATCTTCTGGTACAGATGTGCCTGAGTGGTTATACATTGAAACTCATCATTTTTATTAAAAATTACTTCTATTTTACTCTTCCAGCCTCAGGCTGGCTCCTGAGACAGGATTTATCTGCCCTATAATAATCCTTTCTGTTGTTTAATCTACTTAATCTCCCTCCACCCACTTTGTCTCTGAGAAACACTCGCATTATTGTGTAACTGGTACTTGACAAACAGGTGCCTGATTTTAAATGAAATAAAACTGCCAGACAGAGTTACGTACTGAGGTAAAAGTCAATTTGGAGACATTATCTTAATATAAGAACCAGGGAGTCTGCATTATGCTTCTACAAGGAGGTTCAAATGTAATTTTCCTTAAATGACTTGGAAGGTCATTGTTTTTCTGATCTTGCTCTGAACTTTAATCTACATAACATGCCCCATTTCCTTTAGTTCGTGTGCATATTATTTATTTGACATAATTACTAAGAAAGTCCAATTGAAAGAGCAGGGTCCCTAACAGTTCTTCATTGTCTGAACAACTTAGGAGGGGCTCATGGAAACATGGTGAATGAAAGAAAAAAGTGAAGTTAAAATGAAACAATGAGTCACAGAATTCAAGCCTTCAAATTATCTTAAGACTAGTTTCAATCATCTGGATAATTTAGACAAAAGTGTTTTTTTGGCATTAGTCTTACCATTTTACCTAATTCAAATCATATAATTCAAGCACCAAAATTACTCTGGCCTCAATGATCTAAATTATAAGGTATGGGTGTTCGATTGTCTTTAATCTAATCCTCACACGCATCTCCCACTGGCATGGAAGGATGCATTGCCTCAGAGAACACATGCAAAGGGGGAGAGAAGCGACTTGCACTGACAGTTTAAATCAGAGCTCAAGTGTAAATTAGCATTAAATAACCCCTGTGTTTTCAGCAAAGTGAGTTCTTAGAAACCTCTTGCCTTTACCTTGATTATCAAGCTTGCCCCGGACCCAGTCCTGCCTTAAATCTCATCCGAAGCTCTTTTATACAGGAGTGAATGGGGGACAGTGGACACCACATGTTGGGCCTTAGTGGTTACCGATGCATATTAATTCTATTTCAGAGATGTTTTGTTTATTAAGGTCCCAGTATTAGCTCAGAGAGAAAAAATACTGGGGTGCAGACCTGGTTTTAATTAAAACAGGCAACAGCTGATCAAAGGATGTCTGATTTACAGCTTCATCATCTAACTGGTTAATGATCTGTGGTTACAAGAAAGGAAAGGGGCTATGATAAGAATTTGCCATGAGGTTAAAGACTTGCTGTTTCCCTCCTGTTTTACTTTTGTCTCTTTAAAGATAATCTCCAATTCTTTCCCAGTTTTACTTAGGGCCAACCTTAAACACGCATCCTTGTTACTTCATACGTTTCTCTCCCAGTGTCAGATACTTCGGTAATGCATTCTTCATAGTGTACATAGTCTTAAGTGTAAAATCCTCACTTGTGCACTTAATGTGCACAATTGAAGATTTTTGGTGGAACTTGACTTCCCATGTATAAGAATGCTAGGTGTTTCACTTAAGGAAATAATCTTGATGGGCACATAAATAATGATCAAAGAAACATCTCACCAGGGCCTTGAAAGGGATAGCAGAGATCCGCTAAAGGCATCATCTTGGAAGGGTCCAATCCACTTCCTCCCAGCAGCTCCACAAAGTCTCCTTTCCCCCCACAGCCTGCTGCAGGTTTCTGAGAGAATAGCAACAGGGAAAGAGATATTTAAACCAACTATGGGAGTCAAATCATTTGTCCAATGGCAAGTTGGGGAATTCACTCAATCAGCCCTAGACATCCTAATAGTGCCATTTCATTCAACATTCAGGACTCTGAAATTAAAAGGCATTTACAATTTAAAAAAGTGATAAGAATTGCTTTTCTAAATCAGTTGAGTAATCATTTCTTAAAATGTGTGTGCATTTTAAAAATAAGTCCAAGGACTACAATGATGAAATGGGAATCTGTAAACTCCACATAAGATGTGTGAAAAAATGAAATCATTCAGACATACATACTAGAATATTTGAATTAGTGCATGCAGTCAGAGAGTTTTCATAAATAGGGCTTTCTTTCAACTCACCTCTTTTCCTTTTCTTTGTAAAGGACTTTTTCTGCTATTGGGACAATGTTTATCATTTCTACTGATAAGGATTTAGAATAAATTCAAATATGACCCGTGGGGCTCTGCACACCCTGGCCCTGCCCATCTCCCTGACATGTCTCATATCACTCCCCCTCTATCTTTCCTCCTTTCCATTTCTGGAATCCAATAAGCTCATTCCTGCCTCTGGGCCTCTACACTACTGTTCTCTGTTCCTGGCTCTTCCTGTGGCTGCTGGCTCCCTCATCACTATCACTAAAGTCTCACTTTGTCTCCTTCTCAGAAGGTTTCTTTCCTGACCACCTTAGTATCTCAAGGAGCTCTCCACCCCTCCTTCTGCTCCCTTGTCCCAGTCACTATCCATCACAGCACTTCATTTCATTTTCCGTCAGGCACTCACCACTAGCTGAAATATATGCAGTTTTGCCTGTCACATGCCACTAAAATGCAGGTTTCATGTGAGCAGCATCTATTTTGTTTGTTGTTAATTTACAGCATCTAGAATAGTGCCTTGAACATAGTGAGAACTCAAAAAAATATTTGGAAAAGAAAAAGATGCCTAGAAGAATGCAGACTTTAATTTAAAAAAAAAAGGAAACACCAAGATTACTCCTCATAGCCAAGAATAACTGAAGTGCAGATCTCCCAGTCTGGTATCACTCTTGCCGTCTTCTATACTGTACATCAGGAATGACATACGAACAATCTCAAGGCAATAAGGCTATGTCATACATAGACACCCACTTGTTCTGGTCTTTATCAAAGAAATATTCTCCCACTAAAGTCGCCCTCCAAGAAAACAAACAAAAAAGCATTGGCCCACAAATTTAGGGCTTAAAGGAAATTAGATATGTTCCTTTTATCAGTCCTAGTCCTATTTGGCTTTCCCTGAAATCTGTCTGATTAGGAACTATGACTGTCCTTGATGCCAGCAAATACACGAGCTATCTTAACCTCAGCACAAGAGAAAAGTAAAAGGAAACGAGGATGACTCAGAGGGAAGACGCTACCAGCGCAAGTAAATGTGGTCAAGCTCAGCATTTATCTTAAGATCCATACAGAAGTTCATGGGAAAACAAGTTGATGGAGAATCTCAACTAATATCTGTTACAAAATGTACTGAATTAAATGTAATGCCAGAAAACTCTTCAAAACTTTACTGTATTTTGCAATATAAAAATCCAATTTCGCATTTTTTGCTACACTTAGCATTTCTTCATAACACAGTCAATGAGATACTTCCTTCATGTTAAAAGAAAATTCCAATAGTCAGAAAAACAGCTGTGTAGATGACTCATACTAGGTTCTGCTAGGAGATAATCTTTTTTTAAAGAGGCAAGTACAAGAGAGTTCAATTGTAATTATATGCCACACATTTACCCATTGAAAACATTTCTTGCATCACAAGAAAAGTATTCAAGTAGCACAGGGGACACCTGAGTGTGCAACTTTCAGCTGAACAGGAATAGGAAAGGGTTTAGTTAAAGCGGGGGGGGGGGGGCCCACACACCTGTGAGACTTTACAGTCAAACAGGGCAGACTACTCCAATTGCTCATGTCCGTGTTTACCCTGTATGAGTACTTTTGCTCTGACAAAGCTCTGGCTTTAGTAAATAGTTTGAAAGCAAGTAAGCAACTCACCTTTAACTGCAGGCCATTTAAGTGTCCCAGGGTGAGATCAGATATTTTGATCATCACAGGATAAATTATGGAGAAGCTGCAGTTTCGATGCTGATGTGGAACCACCAGGGTGAACCTTCCATTTGGGGTCTGGGAAATGACGTTGCAGGCTTTGCAGGAAAAAAAATCACATGTTCACTACTTGGTATGCTGGTTTTTATAGACATTTGCCTCATCCTTATTTTAGGCTCCTATTCATGGTCTAGGGAAGCGGTCCTCAACCTGTGGGTCGCGACCCCTTTGGCGGTCGAACGACCCTTTCACAGGGGTCGCCTAAGACCATCCTGCATATCAGATATTTGCATTACGATTCATAACAGTAGCAACATTATAGTTATGAAGTAGCAACGAAAATAATTTTATGGTTGGGTCACAACATGAGGAACTGTATTGAAAGGGCCAGAAGGTTGAGAACCACTGGTCTAGGCCTTGTGGCTTGGAGTACATTTCACAAAGGCAATTTGGAGGTGGGAAGGGTTTGGGGAATGAAAGCCACCAGGGATGTATGGATGAAGCCTTTGGGGCTGCCAGGGGCTTCTAATATTAATCTCAGGGGGTTATCTTGTTTATAATCAGAAAACCTAAATTCATAACCAACCAAACAATACCAGCTGGAACACTTCAGTTAACTGGGTTCCAGGTTCAAGCTGGGAGTCTGGAAGAATCAAGACTTTCAAGCTGAGGCCGGAACTCAAACCCTACCTGCCTGGAGCCTTCACTCATTGAATTTGGGGCCAATGTTATTTTTTAAATAATAAAATAAACAATAAAACAGTCATGAAATAGGCTGAGAAAAAATAGAAAGAAAGCAGGCTACATCTGAATAAATATTTGCTGAGTGTTAAATGTTAAATTGACTAAAAGATAAATTTTAATGTTTGATTTACTCCCAAGAATTTTCTGAAATTTTTTGTTTTGTATCTCAAGTCTAGACTTATAAATTTATTCTTCTAGCTATGAAACTAGAAGCATTAGTTTATACCTTTTTCCCCCCCAAAAGTTTCTGACTTATCAGAACAGGTCAGAACTACTTCTTGCCTCCTTCCATATTTTTTAATTCCACTTAATTTCAAAAAGAACTGAAATTCCATGACAATTCTGGAAAGCTTCTGATTTATAACCAAACAAAATAGATGAGAAATATTTCATTTTTTTCCCTCTAGGATTATTCTGCTCCGGTCCTCAGAAACAGCCTCTTTGGGGGGCTTCTTTCAAAATTTAAAAAAAAACAACACAAAAATTGAAAGATCAGTCAATACATTATTCTTTGGCAGATTCGGTCCATTCTTTGACCATATGAAGTGGTAATACTAATACTATTGCATGCAACCAAAAATGAATAATAATTTCTCTTTTCCTGAATTAATTTTTTACTTTATTTTTTTAATATATTTTATTGATTTTTCACAGAGAGGAAGGGAGAGAGATAGAGAGTTAGAAACATCGATGAGAGAGAAACATTGATCAGCTGCCTGCTGCACGCCTCCTACTGGGGATGTGCCCGCAACCCAGGTACATGCCCTTGACCGGAATCGAACCTGGGACCTTTCAGTCCGCAGGACGATGCTCTATCCACTGAGCCAAACCGGTTTCGGCTTTTTTTTTTTTTTACTTTATTTTTATTGTTGATGCTATTGAAAATGTCCCCATTTTCCCCCTCTTCACCCACTTCCACCCAGCGCCCTCCCCCCTTCCCTTTGGCCATCACCATACTGTTGTCTGTGTCTGTGGGTTATGTATATGTTATTTGGCTAATCCCTTCACCTTCTTTCATCCAATTAATTTTTGTTTTGTTTTAATGGGAGAAAAATAAGCAGATGAGTGAACTCATTTTGATTAAGATAATGTATTTTAGGCCTGGGCTGTTCAGCTTTTTAGCATCTATGGGCATATCCATCAACAATGAACTGTGGGGAACGCTGAATCAGAAGGCAACTTTGAGGTCCTGGTCCAACCTTCTTCTGCCCAGGCATGAAATCTGTCTAATACATCCCAGATATGCAGTCTTTCCACCTTTGCATAAATATCTAAAACTGCAACTTCATATCTGATCCCTCAAGCTTATCCCAGATGAGTGAAATGATTTGGAGGGATTAAAGTTTGTCACTGAATGCATTGTACTTTAGGAGATTAGAATAATATACTGAACAAAAAGATAGAATTCTACTCACCTTAAAGTAGTATTCTATCTAGACTGGGAAATAAATTAAAAACTGTGATTTGATTTTCATAATAATAAATAGAAAATATTCTTTTTGGCCATTTCTGATTACAAAAGAATTTCCATTTAAATCATTTTTCACTTCAAATGTCTGTGCAATGATACTCTCTTTGAAAACCAGATTTGATCTACCTGTCCCCCCCCCACCCCACCCCACCCCCCCTGCCTTCCACCTGAGAAGACAGAGAGCCCACTTACGAAAGAGGTTGGGAACTGTCCTGATGGTTAATGTGAACCCATTTCCTGGTTCATGGACCCGGAAGAAGATCATGGCCACGTTCTGGGAGGATCTGATGCTCCTTCTGCCAAGACCGCTCTCACAGAAATCTATGTATCGCTCAGTTGTGGGGAGAGGGTGGTCCTGGGAACTGGGGAACTTCTCCCCTTTGAGAATCCAACCGTCAAATACCTTCCAACAAAAACACACACATAGGTGATCGCTCCCATCAGCTCCCTAAGTGACAGGTGTGGAACCGACAGCCTACACTCCTCTGCCCACTTGCTTTCCATCTGTATATATCTCTACTGGGAGGGTTATTTGCAAGTAATATTATTAATTATTTATTGCATTTTTTCTTTATAAACCTTAAAGTTTCCAAAATAAGTCAACTTTATTATACGTCAGCCACCTTCGTAAATCAAACTACAGAAGCACACGTTGGGTTTCAGTTATTCTCTTTCTTTTCCTCATTGAAATATGAATAAAATATCTTTTTAAAAAAACACAGCAGCAGAAAAAAACTGAAGCTGCAACTTGACCTACCTGCCAACAGTTATATATGCCCATTTTCCTCCTTGTTTTTGTTTGTTTGTTTTACTTTTATCAGATATTAAAATACCAAGAACTACTTCAACACTCAGACAACAATGGCTGGTGTATAGCTTAGGACTTTTCCCCCTTCACTTGTTAAAGTTTGCAACTGGACAAAAGGTCAGAGTCTATTGACTGTACTCTTAAAAACACCACAGGTCTCCAATTTAATGAGTCCAGTCTCGTTCCCATTACCAACACCAGCTGCAAATTACTCCAGTCCTCTTCTAAAGCGTTTTGAACCGAGGCTCCATTTAAAGAATAATCCCAGTGCGCAGATTTTAGTCCTGCTCTTCTGAACTGGACTGGAGAACTCCACCAGCCATTCCCAGCTGACCTGTCTGGCTCATGGACAATGCCTGGGAGAGGCATGGAGCTTGTCCTCCCTTCCCACCGGCCTCAGACTAGATTCCCTCTCAGCATCCCTCCCAGCAGCCTGCGTCCGCGGCTTTGAAGACAACCTTTAGGAGCCGGGGACATCTCCGGACCAGCAGGAGCAAAGCAGGCGCAGGTCTCAGACTCCTGGGGCCGGCCTCCGCTCAGCACCCGCCCTCTCGGTGGACCCGAGCGCTCGCGCTAGTTTGTACATCGGCCGAGATTGTAACACAGCCTTTAGCAACGGGAGTTCAAGTCTTAGAAGCGTTGGCCCCGAGAGTACACAGGGGGGATTTTAAATCATGGCAGCCTCTGAGGCATCAGCCCTTCCTGGTGTGGGGCGAGGTCTTGGGGTTGAGAGGTGGTTCCTGTCCCAGCGGAGCGTCTAACTAAGAATGTCACCGGCTCCCCCAAACTCGGCTGCCCCACGACGGGCGCCCAGCCCGCCCATTTCCCCTCCGCGGTGCCCGGCTGCCGGGTGGGGACACCTCACCTTCAGGAAGTCCCCGCCCTGGCAGTCAATGGAGACCAGGTCGTAGTAGATGGTGATGAACTCCTCGGGCTCGCTGATGAAGAAGGCAGCGCAGTGCAGCTGCGGCCGGTCGGCGGTGAAGGTGAACTGGCCCTGCAGGCTCAGCATGTCCAGGCACCCTGAGGGCGGGCAGGGCACGGGGCGAGGCGTCTCGGCTGCAGCCCCGCAGCCCCTCCCGGCGCCCCGATTCCCAGGTTTGCAGCGCCCCCCGCGCCGACTCCCAGCCGGACTCCCAGCCTCGCTGCGCGCTGCTCCGGTGCCCCAGGGCGCAACACCCCGTCCGCTGCTGCGCTCCTCGTGGTGGCACGGATCCTTCGCGATGGGAACCATGCCCTGGACAGCCCCTTCTCTGTGGTGCCCGGGAGCCTCCTGCCCTTGCGCAGAGCCCACACCTCCCCACAGCCCGCTGCCTGCGAACCCAGCCGGGCACCAGCCGGGCAGCCCCAACTCACGCAGAGCGCGGCGGTACAGCGGCTCCCCCGCCAGCTCCCGCTTCAGGTGGGCGCTGAGGAGCAGGAAAGGGTCCTGGTCCCCGGCTTCCCGCAGCTGGCAAGGAACATGGGTCAGTTGGGAAAAGTTGAAGGGGTGGGAAAGGGGGCCGGGAGCAGGGCACCCTCTCTGCCTTACAGCAAAGAGGACCAAGTGACGGGATACTGTCCCTCAGACCAGGGGACCGCAGGCGGCCAGGGGGAAGGAGGAAGAGGCAGGAGGGAAAGCCAGTCTGGGGAAAGGTCGGCACCAAGATGGGGAAGAAAGAGCTAACCCGGCAAAGGCAAGCGCCTACGCAGCCTGCCCTCCCCCCTCCCCACGCCCCCCACGGCAGGACACTCACCAGGGGAGGTGTGAGGGGTCAGCCAGGGGACCACTCACCTCCAGGTATCGGCTCTCCCCTCTCAGAGCCACCAGGAAGATCAGGATGAAGCGACACCGGAGTTTGAAGGAAGGAGACATGCTGGTCCTGCCTCCGTCAGCAGCTGGTGTGCTCCACTCCACACCTCGTCCGTCCGGCTGAGAGCTGGAAGCTGGCAGGGTCCCCTGCCCGGGTCTCTTTTATAGAGCAGTGAGGAGGGAAGGCTGCCTGCTCCTTAACTGGTCTGCGCTCAGTAACCATGGGTTACCCTGTCTCGGTGACACAGTGCGTGGCGATGACGAGGGTCCAGCTCTCTCCCAAATTTTCAGAGTGGGCTAGCATTATTCAGCAAGCATGATTTCAGACACTTACAACTTACTGAACCCATGTGTGGGAGAAGCAATGAGGCCGGGAAAGAGAATAAGGGAGGGCATTTTGCTGGGCCTGGCAAATGCTGAATTCTCCTCTCCTGGGCATACGCAGGGGATTTTTGGTTTTGCAAAGCAAGGTGACAAGGTTACACTCATGTATAAAATACCCAAACACATAATAACCTTATCATGCAGCCTTGCCTCGTAACCTTGGATGGACTCATGCTGGAAATTGTCAGAAAATACAGTACTTACGCAATTGCTCATGCTTCTCAGGGAGAAACTCGAGGCGTTTTCAGCTCCAAAGAGAAGCAGGACAGAAGCCGAAATCTGATTTTGCAGAATATTGCAATAATGTAATTCAAGCTTTCTTTCTGTCCCTTAGTCTTTGCTTTATCCTGGGCCAGTTTCTTGTAAGAATTCCCTTAATGGAAAGCTAACTCTGGCGTCTGTGTGCTCCTGGGTTTTAGCTGAGGAGCGGTCACTTAGCTTGAATGTATATACGGCAGACACTCCTGGGCCAGCTAACGGGGCCAGGACACAGCACCTACTGAACCACTGAGAGAGGAAGTCATTCCATGTCACACCTTCAAATACCTGAATTACTTTAATATTCATGTGGAAAGAACTGCCCAAAGCTTAATTATAACCGCTCATCAGCCAATGTACAGGGCGAACCAAGTGACTTAGCGACTCAGAAATAAGTTAAGAATAAGCTTATCTTTGCTAATTACACATGAAGAGAATTGCTTCTCTTTTATGTATAAAATTGTGGGAAATGTGGGGACATGCCACATTCACCTTTCTCACCCCTTTCCTATCTACGTGTTAAGCAAGCCAACTACAAATCCTAAAAACTTTCATGTTGCTTTGCCACTGCCTGACAGAAAACACAACTACCATAGCTTGCATTGTTATGAAATTATTACAGATAACGAGACCTAATACAGGGTTTTAATGCAAGAAAATGGTTCTATTTTTAGTTTATGAATACTCAAAATTAAGCAATGATTTACCTAGTGGTGTCAGAACTCGATATTTTCATATTTAAGACAATTCTGAGCTCTGTAGGGGCGGCCCCTTAGCTATTTAAACAGGAGGCCTTCTTACCGTAGTTCAACTCTGTAGTAGTCCTTAGACCACAGAGAGCATGAGAGGGAAGTTCCCCCAAAGGTCATGAACACTGGCCACCATGCCTTTCTCCCCATCCCAGGGTTGTACAGATGTCTAAATCTTAGAGAGGGAATAAAGAAACCCAAGAGGAATAAAAGAGGAGAAAATAAATGGTTTAATCCCAACACACCAGGCCAGCTTCAAGTCTGTCTCCCAGCAGTCTGTGCCCAGAGAGAGGCTCAGGCACATTCATCCCGTAAGCCACTAGCCCAGTCTCCTTTCCCATCAACCTAGCCATGGCCTGGGCCAGCTCCCAGGATACTCAGCTTGGAGAACCCCATTTATCCCACTTTGGGGGGTCTGGCTTTGCTACATCACCACTGAGACATTCTTCTCCAACCTGCCCCTACACACACACACACACACACACACACACACACACACACACATTCATGGACAACAATAATGTTCCTAATGTGCATTCATGATGCTCCCTCCTCAGGAACCACACACAGGAAGAGCTGGGATGAAGCAGGACAAACATAACCACAAATGGGTAACATCCTATGTTACCTAATAAGCCACAAGTATAGCAAAGGGATGTACTTTATTCCCACCAAATCCTATGTGGGGAAATTAATGTGTAATTTTCACTAGCTTGGCAAATATCTACTAAGCCAATGAGAACTGCATTGTGACTTTTATCTGTTTTTTGTTGGTTTGTTTGGTTTGGTTTGGCTTGGCTTTTAAGAGTAACTGAAGGATGAAAACTAGACTCTACAAGGGAAACTAAGAAGATAGAATTGGAAGACAAAAACAAGCCAGATAGCCATTCTCTATTAGCAAAGGCTTTAAAAATGGGTGACAACAATGGAAGAGTAATTTAGATTAGACAGAAGGAAATCGTTTCTGGATAATAAGTAGGTCTATGTCTGAGAACTGAATATAAATTGTTTTCATCCATTGATTTGGTCATTCAAACAACTAGCTTAATATTTGAAAGCTATTTGTTCCATCAAATTGACTGGTTATTTTGAAATATATTCTTAGTAAACTTAGAGTCCCCAATCTGCTGTTAGAATGACCTGTATATTCACCTCCATTCTCTGCACGCATTTTAGTTTTTCTCTGTATTTTCGAAGACAACCTCTCCAATGCTGATTTAATGCAGTCCCTGATCATTGTTTTTTTTTAGGTCTTAAACTATTGTCAGGCAGGGTTAAGACCTTCTTTTTGTTACCTAAGATGAAGACATTTTTTTCTTTTCTAAAGCCCCAGTGCAAATTGTCACCTGTGTTAAACCTGAAGGTGGAGGTGGCCACATAATCTAGATCAATGTATAATCCATGAACATGGGAGCGGGGCAAGTTTTAAACTGCTGAGCCTGAAGAGGCACAGGCAGAGAACTACTAAGTAGAACACTGGGGTACTCTGTAGTCACCCACGTGACCTATGATGTCATTGTGACAGCCAAGTGTAAGCTTATGGACCGAGGTGTCAGAAGCAGCAAGAACTACACAATCCCAAATCTCTTTCTATTTTAGAGTTGCTGCAAAGACCTTCTCAAAGAATTCCCTATCTGTAATAGTGAACTTTATCTTTCATTAATCACTTCAACAGAGAATACCACAATCCATGCTTTAGGAAACTTTCCTTTTCCCTTTGCTGCCTGATATGTTGAGGTGTTGGGAAATGGGACATCTGATTGAGTTCTTTAAGAAATAAATGAAGATGATTGAATAAAACTCATTTATCCAACAGCAACAACAACTAACTTTCAATTGTTTTCAAGATGACTTGCTCTTTGAATGAATTTGGCTATTTTTTAATGCAACCCTTTTAATAGGTTTAATTTATTTTTCACATGAGTTTGGGATCAAGAAGGAAGAACCTAAACAAATACACTTGGGGAACCATTAGCCTTTGAATTAAACCCTCAAATGTCAGTGATTTTCAACCCAAATCCATTATCTTCTTTTGCTATGGTTAAGACCACTAGCAGTACTAAACATTAGGACTTTGAGGGTAGCAAGTGACTGGCAGCAAATCAGAAGTTAAGCAAAAAGGGGAAATATTATCAGGACACAGGGATACCTTCACCAATACATGGACAGAAATCAGGAAGCAGGGGCTAAAATCCTGCCTCCCTGTCTCTGTTCCAGGCTGCCTTCACCCCACATCTCAGTCTGTATGCCTGTAAATAAGCCACCAACAGATTCCTAAGCTTCACATGTTACAACTTGACAAATAAAAATACCCTGAACCAATATTCCCATAATCCCCAGTCCACAAAACTTTGTGGGAAAGGCTTCAAAGCCAGGGGATAGGACCCTGTCACAACATGACTGTTCCCCTGACAGCCATATGGATGGAAAAAAGAGAAGCAATTTCAAGAAAAAGGGATGCTGGATTCACAAAATAATGGGTATCTTCAACAGAGTAAAAAAAAAAAAAGCAAAAGCCCTGGTTTAGTGACCTCTTTGATCATAAGTTTTCTCACCTGTAAAATTATTTTTCTCACTGGGAATTTATTGTACGAATTAAATATTATATATCTCCTACATAGAGAATAGCGTTAAATGGTAGCTATTATTAAATTATGCCAATCATATTATGTCTTTATCACTAGGGTTTTCCTTCTAATGATGATTTTATAAGAGTGCATGGAAAGCATATGTTTTTCATATTATTATTAAAATATAATGAATGGCTTCCAATTAGAACATTAACAGACTTTAAAAAGCCATAGTTAGAAAAAGAGAGAACTAAGTTAAAGTATAATTACAGAACTGCATTTCAAAAGGCTAGCTAGAAATGGATCCCATTAAAGATTATGTCCCTTAATGGACAGTGGCTTAGCTGCATCAGAGAGAAAAGCTGAATGTAAAGAGCAGTAGAATTGAGAAGATTGAGGAAAGGGGAAAGTTGAAGTTATAAAGCAGAAACAGGAGATAATTAGGAACTGCTTGGAGAATAGCATTTTGATTCTATATCAAGGACTGTTGAATAACATCATCTGTTAGGTGTGGGGACACTGAGAATAAGAAAGCAATGATTTGACAAGGTTTCCAAACAGCGGTGATGGGAGGAAAGACAAGAGATTAAAAGATCTGCCCAGGTTATCACAGTGAGTCAGAAACAAAGTCTAGACTAAAAAGATCCCTCTATATTCAGCCAAGTAATCAATCCTTCAAAGACAATAGCCCTGGAAATTAATTCAAAAAATATATATTTTAGGTTTTAAAAAATTACCAAACTAGGAGCAAAAAACGAGATGGCGCTGGGCCAAAGCAGGACGCATCACAAGCTGCAAGGAGCTTGGGGTTGCTGTTTGTGCAATGGCTTCCTGACTTTGGAGTGACATTGTTATCTCAACTCCCTTCAGGCTGCCTCTAAATTATGCCATGACTAACATCGAGCCAGCGATCATAATGAAATGCCATTTAATAATCCTCACTGCCTGCATCAAGGGGAAAAGTACAGCCGGGCCAGAGCCGTTGGTGTTTGTCATTGGGCAGAGGTGACGTGCATCTGCACGTCACATCAGCCTCTCCTCTGACGGAAGAGAAATGAAGTGTGAAGAGTCTCATTTTAGTGTCTTAGAATAGATCTAAAGGAGAAAAGCCTGCCAGTTATGTGGAGTGACACGACAAGCTCTAAATAAGGAAGGCAACAGGAAAAACTGCAAGCTAGGCAGTGGTTAGCTATCTGCGGTGCCTTCTTTGCTCATTTTTGTGGGACCCCTGTCACAAGCCAGCCTGCTTCCCCGTCTACCAATCCCTTCCTTCCTTCCTTCCTTCCTTCCTTCCTTCCTTCCTTCCTTCCTTCCTTCCTTCCTTCCCTTGCTTCATTCCTTCCACAAACTCTGAGCAACAGATTTAACTGCCCTGTACTCATAGTATTTTATATATAAATGCCTGAAAAGCCTTTATTATATGTATTATAACTTTTAATGTGTCTATCTTCAAACCTAAATATAAACACGTGGAAGTCTGGCCCTGCAGCTCACCTATCTCTAGCCTACACACACACACACACACACACACACACACACACACACACACGACACTACTGGGTGGTACCTAAAAGCAAATTGAATAGAGGGGCTTCTGCTCCTCCACCTAGTTATAAATTAAAGAACTGTCTCCACTAAAAATTTTCACCAGCTGACAACATCCAAAGACGTGGCACCAGCCAGGTAATGGGATTTGGGTGGTAAAACCTGAGGAAAGGGAAGAACGGAGGTGCTGAAACTGATCCTGGAGTCAGCCCTAGAAGACCACAGTCAGCTGTTGGGTGGGGAGTAAGAAAGGTAAGAGGGAGCTGGAGGGACAGAGCTGGGTCTCAGGTGGGGTGATTAGGGCACTTGCCTGGGGCACAAAAACTCAGTCATCAAGATAAATAATAGTGTAATGCAATGTGTTATAAGAGGAAAATTAATGCAAAAAAATCCATGATGAACAAAACATCAAAGTTTTAGGTAAAGACATCATTGGTCCTAGTGGCTTTTCCTGTTGCCTCTGGCTTTATTCTGGCTCCACACAGCACTGTGCAGGGAAATACACACAGGCAACAGTTCGTCCCTGCAGGAGTAACTAAGAGTTCTAGGGGTTTCATTCTGGTTTCCGTGAGTGAAAACAAAAGGGCTCTGGATTAGGTGTCCCAAGCCCTGGATCACTGACTGAGAGCTTGGGTAAGTCATTCACGTCATTTGTAAGATGAGAGGAGTGTAGCTTTCAAGATCACAGCAGGAAACAGATGGTGGCGAGTTTTTTTAAAAAAAAGACTCTATAGAGGTGTGGGCAGCATGCAGGGAAACCACAAGGGAGAGTGCAGTGTTCTAGGACTAAGAACAGAGAGGAAATGTGGTCCAGCTTCCTGGGCCAGAGGACAGGGCGGGGAGGGTGAGATATGAATGGGAGGGTCAATGGAAGCTGTCCAGCCCTGCGGGCTGTTGGATCTCTAAGATCCTGTGGTGGTTTTAAAACTGGTCTGCAAATGTTTTGGCACTCTTCCCACAAAAAGTGAAGTCTCATTCCTTTTCCCCAAATCCTTTTCAAGAATGTGGCTTGATTTAGTGACATGCTTCTAATAAATTGGCCAAGTGACACTGTAATTTCGGAGGCTAATTTAGAAAAAGGCCTGAGCTGCCACGTAAGGAGTCCAGCCACCATGAAGCTGCCATGCTGGAGACCACATAGACATTGAGGGAAGTGCCCAGCTGTGTCAGCCCCCAGATGTTTTGATCATCTGAGCCCAAGTACCAGACACCTGAGTAAAGAAGCCCTTGAGGTGACCCCAGTTCCCAGCTCGCAGCTGATGGCAACATCATGAGAGACCCCAAGCCAGAACCACCCCATGAGTACTGTCCAATACCAACCCACAGGAACCACAAAAGGTAATCAATGACTGTGGTTTTAAGTCACTAAGTTTTGGGGGGATGTGCTTTACAGGAACAAATAACTAATACACGGCCTGCCTTACTCTGTCCGGGCTATTACACTAGAATGCCACAGTCAGGGTGGCTTATAAACAATAGAAATTGATTTCTCACAGCTCTGGAGTCTGGAAGTCTAAGATCAAGGCTGATTCACCGTCTGGTGAGGTCCCACTTGCTGGTTCACAGACAGATGTTTTCTTCCTGTGTCCTCACATGGCGGCAGGGACTGGGGAGCTCTCTGGGGTCCTTTTCATAAGGGCACTAATTCCATGTATGAGGGCTTCACTCTCCTGACCTCACCACTTCCCCAAGGCCCCACCTCCAACCACCATCACACTGGGGGAACACAAACATTCAGTCCACAGCAAGGCCT